CAATTGTTACTTCTTCTGGTTCTCTCCCTCCTCCCGTTCTCCACCCTCAAATAGGTCCAGTGTCTGTTGTTCCCTTCTTTGTGTCCGTGTGTTCTCATCATTTAGCTCCCGTCTTTTCTTTCTCTTTCTCTCTTTTTTTTAATTAGAAATGTCTCTAAATAAAATTCTATACAGTTACCTAAGGAAAATTCACATATACTCTACATCAGCTAGAAATGTGTTTTGAACTGCAGGTAACAGAACACCCAGATACAGCGGCTTAAACAAAATGTGGTATATTTGACTGCCTTCACAAGAAGTCTGAAGGTAAAAGGTTGTTAGCATGGTCCAGGGGCTCAGGCACATCAACGCCAACATCTCTGAAGTTCTCCTGGTCTTTCTCACACACTCTGTTATTTCTTGAGTGTAAGAAATGAAAGGGGCATGTGGGGCACCAGAGGCATCTGCTCCCTTTCATTAGAAAGGCAAAAGTTTGGCTGGGCACGGTGACTCACGCCTGTAATCCCAGCATTTTGGGAGGCCCAGGCAGGTGGATTATCTGAGATCAGGAGTTTGAGACCAGCCTGCTCAACAAGGTGAAATCCCCTCTCTACTAAACATACAAAAATTAGCCAGGTGTGGTGGTAATCCCAGCTACTTAGGACGCTGAGGCAGGAGAATCGCTTGAACACAGGAGGTGGAGCTTGCAGTGAGTCGAGATCTCACCACTGCATTCCAGTCTGGACCACAAGAGTGAAACTCAGTCTCAAAAAAAACAGAAAAGTTTTTCCAGAATCATCTCTTCTCCCTCGCTATCAACATTTTTCCACTTACAATTTGATGACCAGAAGAATGTCACATGGCCACCTCTGCAGTAAAGGAGTCGGACAGAGATTTGTGAACTCAACTTTTGCATACAATTGTAGAGAATTTAAAAACTGACGCACATTATGGTACCCAGGTTCAGAATTCCTGATTGAAAAAGTGGGTCACACTATCTGAACCTATGTTTTCAGGTCCTCCCTCCTCAGGGAAAAACTGAAATCTAAACAGATTTCCGATAATCTGGTTTGAAGCAGCAAGCTGTTTAAAGGCCAGAGAATCAAATGAGGTAATGTATTATGAAACTTTGGCAAACTGTTAAGTTCTGCTTAATATGAAGACATCTGGCCGGGTGCGGTGGCTCACGCCTGTAATCCTAGCACTTTGGGAGGCTGAGGCGGGCGGATCACCTGAGGTCAGGAGTTCGAGACCAGCCTGACCAACGTGGTGAAACCCCGTCTTTAAACAATAATAGTAGTAATAATAATAATAATATGAAGACATCTTTCTGTTGTGAGAATTTCCTTTGTTATCTATGCATTACACATCTTGGTTGCCATTTGCCTCGTGTGTAAATAAAATAACGTAGAATAGGGCAAAATAAAGACACCAGCAATCAGTGCCAGGAACACACAGAAAATATTTTATTAGTTTCCAGATTGAGAAACTACGAAGGAGTACATATTTCAGTAGAAATCTATGACTCTCCTCAGAGAGCCCACTCTGGCATTCACGGATCCCCAGTCCTGGTGCCGCCTGTAGTCCCCCGGCCTCAGCAGGTACTGCCGTCCTCGGTAGTTGGGCAGCTCGTAGAGGACCCAGGAGCCCTCCAGCGCATTAAGGGAGTGGATTTCATTGAAGTGGAAGTGGTCCTGAAGAGAGGTGCAGTCCTCAGTGAACTCTATCATCTGGCCTCTGTAGTCCTCCCTCTCATAGAGTCTTATCCTGTGAGAGCCAGCCTGGCAAACCCAGAAATGAAAAGAGAAGAAAAGCAACCGTGAAATGATTCCAATGCGTTTTAGGCAGTTCAGCTTGGAGAGGACCCGCTCAAAGCCATTTTGAAATACACGGTAAAATTAATTAATTCTGAATATTTATAAACTCATTACTGAAGGCAGATATTCAATACCTTTTCAGGATTATAAAGTGTTATAAAGAAATTGAGAAAGAAATAGCCTTAATATATTCTGCTATTTCTCAGGATGAGCTGACTCCTATGCTTAGTATCCTGTACCACACACAAACCCAAATCTGTAACAGCTTATTACTATTGTATGCCATTTTGAAGAGATGTTTAATATTAAAATAAACATTAAATTTAAAAAATTAAATTATGTATTTTAATATACACTATATCTAATATATATTTAATTATATACTATATTTAAAATATATTATAAAATGTATAAAATTATATTTTAAAAAAGAAAAAAATAAAAAAAATTGTTTTATTTAAAAATAATTATATTTATTAAAAAATTATATTAAAATTATATTTTATAAGTACAAATTAAAATCATATTTATTCAAAAATGATTATATTTTATTTAAAAATTACTTAAAATGTAAATAAAATATATTTAAAATATAAGTATTTTATATTTATAAAATACATAAATATAAGGGCTGGCACAGTGGCTCATGCCTGTAGTCACAGCACTTTGGGAAGCCGAGGTAGGTGGATTACTTGAGGTCAGGAGATTGAACCAGCTTGATCACTATGGCGAAACCTCCTCTGTACTAAAAATTCAAAAATTAGCCAGGCTTTGGGGTCAGGCGCGGTGGCTCACGCGTGTAATCCTAGCACTTTGGGAGGCCGAGGTGGGTGATCACGAGGTCAGGAGATCGAGACCATTCTGGCTAACATGGTGAAACCCTGTCTCTACTAAAAATACAAAAAATTAGCTGGGCATGGTGGTGCGTGCCTGTAGTGCCAGCTACCCGGGAGGCTGAGGCAGGAGAATCGCTTGAACCCGGAAGGCGAAAATTTCAGTGAGCCTAGATCGTGCCACTGCACTTCAGCTTGGGTGACAGGGCGAGACTTCATCTCAAAAAAAAAGAAAAGAAAAAGAAAAAATTAGCCAGTCGTGGTGGCATGCGCCTGTCCCAGCTACTCGGACGAGAATCGCGTGGACCCTGGACGTAGAGGTTGCAGTGAGCCAACATCATGCCACTGCACTCCAACCTGGCTGACAGAGAGAGACATCGTCAAAAAAGTTAATAATAAATAACAAATGCAATAAAATAAAAATACGAAAATTAGCCGTGTGTGCAGGTGTGCTCCTGTAACCCCAGCTACACAGGAGACTGAGAGAGGGGAATCATTTGAACCGGGGAGGCGGAGGTTGCAGTTAGCCGAGATAGCGCCACTGCACTCCAGCCTGGGCGTCAGAGTGAGTGAGACTCTGTCTCAAAAAAAAATAAAATAAATAAAATAAAAACCATAAATAATTATAATGTAAATAAAATATATTTAAAATATATTAACTAAGAAATATAATATAATTTATATATTATGTAAATATATTAAATGAATAATTATTAAATACATCTTAAATTATATTCATTAAATATATTAAAATATAATGTATTTTAAATATGATATAAATGAAATATATTAAATACATAAGCCTATTTAAAATATTAAATGTTTTAATAAGGTAATATATTAAACAACAATTAATTCTAAGTCAATAATTTGTGAATACAATGAGGAAAATAGAGGAAAAAATCAGTAAGTCCAAGGACGAATTTTTCATAAACTGTAGTGTTCTAACACACATATGGGATATATGTGGCACATGTGTGAAATGTCTGTGTTGCTCTCCATTGACTGCCGCACCCTCTGGCAGCTATTCTTCTATTAGGTAGTAGTGTTTTTTCTACGACTCCATTCTATATGATTCCAGAGTAGGAGTTAAGTCTTATACAAGCCCTACGGCGGGGGACACGTTTTACTCAATAAGTGTTTGTGGATTAATTGTGATTCATTGGTATCTGGGTAACACTTTGCTTTTGTGGGGCGCAAACTCTATTGATTTAATCCACTAGAGTTCATCTTTTATCCACTCTCAGTTATTGTGAATGATCACTACTTCTAATGTTCAGCATTTGCTTGAAACCATCCAGTGAGTGTCCTGAGGGCCTCGGTCCTGACTTGAGGCTGCACTCACGTGGGGGATGAGGCGGCAGGAGCGGACCGAGTCGCTGAGGCCCATCCACTGCTGGTGGTTGGCATAGTCGCCTGGGCGCAGGAAGTACTGGAGGCCCGAGTAGTTGGGCTGCTCATAGAGCATCCAGCAGCCGCTGTCCACGCGCACCGAGTTGCAGCGGCTCAAGTAGGGCTGTAGGTTTGAGTGATCGCTGCTGCATTCGTAGTGGCGGCCCTGGAAGCCCCGGTCCTCGTAGAGGGTGATCTGCAAAGCAAGGCGAGGGCTCACAAGCCTGCTCCCGCCCCAGTCTCCGGTCCCCGCGATGCACGGAGCTCCCGGGTAGCGGGGCGCGGGCTGGGCTCACCTTCCCCATGGCTGGCTGGGCGCGCGGCGAGTCTGAGCGGGTGGGGCCGCGCGCGGCGGGGCTATATAGCGGGAGGGCTGCTGCGTTGGCAAGAACCGCACAAAAGGGCCCCGCAGAGGAGAGCAAGGGCATTTTCGTGTTCTCTTTTTTCTCTTTGCTGTCCTAGTCCATGCGGCTCATTGTGGGTTTTGGTCCTATTCTCTCTGGAGTATTCGGATTGCTGTCACTGGCTGATGCTGTTGAAAATGTTTGAAAAAAGGTAATTTGGGACACTGTCTATTTCATAATAGAAGTGGAGCTTCAGCTATTTCACATAAAGTTCACACTCTTATTTGTATAGGTTGGGGGAAAACAAAAAAGTTTAAGTCGGGGAGCAAAAAAAGCAAAGACTCTTAATAAGGCAAATATAAATTAGTCTGTCAGAACTACAGCATTACTTAGGTGCCGCAATGTTGAATACTGTTAGTATTGTTAGTAGGAAGGAAATGGGCTTAACTGAATGTTGAGAATTTCAAGTTAGTCCTTTAAGAGAACGTCATCAAGAAAGGTTTAAGAAATTGGAAAGTTTTATCAAGAGAGTTCACAGAATTTCGATCTTTTTTTTTTTTTTTTTTTTTTGAGACGGAGTTTCGCTCTTGTTACCCAGGCTGGAGTGCAATGGCGCGATCTCGGCTCACCGCAACCTCCGCCTCCTGGGTTCAGGCAATTCTCCTGCCTCAGCCTCCTGAGTAGCTGGGATTACAGGCACGCACCACCATGCCCAGCTAATTTTTTTGTATTTTTAGTAGGCCGGGGTTTCACCATGTTGACCAGGATGGTCTCGATCTCTTGACCTCGTGATCCACCCGCCTCGGCCTCCCAAAGTGCTGGGATTACAGGCTTGAGCCACCGCGCCCGGCCTAGAATTTCGATCTTTTATGATAATAAAACACACAGCAAACATGAATCTTCAATATTGGATCTGATTTTGTAGCAATCATGCCTGGAAGTAGCTGAGAATTAGATGTTTTTCTCTTAGCTAATGGTAGTGCTGTGATTCAAAAGAGGGCATAGTTCTAAGATGCTTAATCTCAGAAAGAACTAAAAAGGAAATATGTAAGCTTGAGGAAATTAGAAAAAGTAATACATTTGAAACAAAAAGACAGGATCTCTTAGCTTATTATAAAATAAAACTGAATTCTTAAGAAACTTATTTCTCGTAGAATCTAGAATACACATTTGTTCTCTGAATGAGTGAGAGTACAGGAGGCCTTTGACTCAGAGGAAATTAACTGCATGAACACAAAGGGGAGCTCTGGCTGGAATGATGCAGGGAGAGGAAGGAATAAATATCTAGAAGCTGGACTCTAAGAAGACTTTAGAAAGTACTTACTGGCCTGGAAGAGAACAGTTTGATGGACTGGAAAGAGCACTGGAGTGGAAAATGACCTATGTGTCCAGCTTCTTTCATGTTCAAAGAACTGTTCACAGCCCTCTGTCAACCCATGGAAGTACTTTGTCTTGTTTTTGAGTCATAAATCTTTGTAAGGGGTACTTATGAATTAAACACCAACTATGTGCAATACAAATTATTTTAATTCTTATTTTCTGGCTTCTTCTTATTCACTATGTAAATGCACGTGTTTGCAAAGTTGCTTGTGTTTACAGAGTAGAAAATAAGCATCTAGAATCTAAGGAATACACATTATCATTTTAATTAAAATTTTAAAACACAAATAATAAAAATAACTTTAAAATAATTATTATTACATACAAATGGCCAATGGGTATATATAAAAAATACTCAACATCACTAATTGCCAGGGAAATGCAAGTCAAAATCATAAGGGCATATCATCTCATCACAGTCAAAACGGCCATTATAAAAAAGACAAAAAAGAATGAATGCTGGCAAGAATGTGGAAAAAAAGGGGTGTTTGTATTCTCTTGGTAGGAACAAAAAGCAGTATACCTGTTATGGAAAACAGTATGGAAATTCCTAAAAAATAAAAATAGAACCACCATATGATCCAGCAGTCCTACTGCTGGATATACATCCAAAAGAAAGGGATGTCTTGACTTCTATGTTTATTGCAGTACTATTCACAAAAGTCAAGATATAACATCAGCTTACGCGTCCATGAACAGAAGAATGGATGAAGAAAATGCAAATTATATATATATGTGTGTGTGTGTGTGTGTGTGTGTGTGTGTGTACATATACACACAGATAATGGAATATTATTTGGCTATAAAAACAATGCTATCCTGTCATTTGCAGCAACTGACAGCAGTTACTGGTTGGAACTAGAGGTCATTATGTTAAGTGAAATAAGGTAGACACAGAAAAACAAACATTGCGTGTTCTCATTCATATGTGGGAGCTAAAAATATTGATCTCATGGAGGTAGAGAGTAAAATATGGGCCAGGCGTGGTGTTCACACCTGTAATCCCAGCACTTTGGGAGGCTAGGGTCAGGAGTTTAAGACCAGCCTGGCCAACATGGTGAAACCCCATCTTTACTAAACACACAAAATATTAGCTGGGTGTGGTGGTGTGTGCCTGTAATTCCAGCCTCTTGGGAGGCTGAGGCACAAAAATCGTTTGAACCCAGGAAGCCAAGGTTGCAGTGAGCCAAGATCGCGCCACTGCACTCCAGCCTGGGCGTCAGAGTGA